AAATCGATACTAACAACGATGGTACTCACTAATGCATATGGTTGGGTCCTTCGCCACGCTAATGTTTGGTTTCTCGATCCCAGACGTGCTCGCATCGGGGAAACATCAGGGCGTGAGGTGTTCACCGCTTTCGGCCTTTAGGAAGCCTCGCCAGGCCCGGGGAACGTCAAAAAACGACTCGGGGTGCAAAGCTGGTCCGGGGGACCGCGCATTCAAAAATAACCCGACGAAAGACCCAGCCATATGCAGCATGTAGCTGCGAGAACCGCGACGGAGATGAGACGAAGGAGGGGGGCACGCAAACCCCGAATAGCGCACGCGGTATACCCTATGCTCTCATAGGCAGCGCGCCGCAGGAAGAACGAAGCGTGGGACAGCGCGGGCAGGGGGGAGACGAATGGGTGGGACGTGTGCGAACTGTCGGTGGAGCTCCCCATGGGCCACAAAGCGAGCGAATGAGGGGTGTGCCGAAATGGGCGGGGGGGACGCCTGCGAACGTCGCCGCTCGGGCCTTCTGTGGAGCTCCCTGTTGGGCTACGAAACGTGTGAAGGGTGCGGCGACATGAGTCGGTTGGACGCATGCGAACGTCACCACTCAGGCCTTGGGTGGAGCTCCCTATGGGAGCACGACACGTGTGATGGGTGTGCCGAGATGCGTCGGGAGGACGCATGTGGCCACGCCCGCTGGGGCCTCAGGTGGAGCGCCCTATCGGGCCACGAAGCGCTGTACTGGGCGTGTTGGACGCATGTGGCCACACCAGCTGGGGTCTTCGGTGGAGCTCGCTATGGGGCCACGAAGCGCCGTACTGGGTGTGGCGGGCGCACGCGGGCACACGCACTGGAGCCTTCGGTGGAACTCCTTATGGGGCCACGAAACGCTTTACGCGGGCACCCCCACTCGGGCCTTCGGTGGAGCTGCCTATGGGGCCGCGAAGCGCTGTACTGGGTGTGGCGGACGCATGCGGGCACCCCCACTGGGGCCTTCGGTTGAGCTGCCTATGGGGCGCGAAACGCTGTACTGGGTGTGGCGGACGCATGCGGGCACCCCCACTGGGGCCTTCGGTGGAACTCTCTATGGGGCCGCGAAACGCTGCACTGGGTGTGGCGGACGCATGTGGGCACCCCCATCGGGCCTTCGGTGGAGCTGCCTATGGGGCCACGAAGCGTGTGAGGTGTGTGCCGAAATGGTGGACATGTGGTGAGCAGAGGCAGGGATGGGAGGAGGGAGGAGGAGAAGGAGGAGGAGAAGGAGAAGGTGGAGGAGGGGAAGAGGAGAAACGCGAAACACTGTCTCTTCAAAACGAGCACTCAACAGGGCAAGATGGTCGGGACAAATCCAGACATCGCATGTCTGGGCTCAGATCTGGTTGTTGCAATGTTTATCACACGGGTCGTTTTCGCCCGGTCTTGGGCAGCGAGGCCCTCACATATCAATCTTGCCAGAAAAATGGCGCGTAAAGATTGGGTCTAGGGCTTCGGCCGTGAGTTTGCGTGATATTGTTTCGCAACGTCGGATGTCAGGGTAGGGGGGGTTGTAAGTGAATGCCATGGTGGGTCATATCTGGCCCAACCTAGCTCATAAGTGGGCTCCAAGTGTCTGGTAACTCTGCGAAGTCGGACCCGTCCGCTTAGCCCAAATAAGAGGCCCCCCATAGGCTGGTTAGGACACTTGCAGCCCACCTACAAAGTAGGTTCGGCCAGAGATCACCCACCTTGGCATCCACTTATAATCCCCTTAACTTATCCAGTTGCACCCCCAGCGGTGACGAGTGCGCTCCGATCGAGGTTCGAGATCCTCGGTTTTCCGGCATTCTCGTCGTCGTCCCGTCTCCCTCCGATCCTCCAGCCACCTTCGAGCTTTGAGTTGCGAGCTTCGAGGATGGCTGTCTTTTTGGTTTCTGGGGGGCTGCTCATCGCCACAGCTGAATTCGCTTCCACATTCTGGTCAGAACGCACCCCAGGAGAGGTCTTAGCGCCGACTTGCGACCCCACAGACCCAGACCCCTCGGGCGTGCTCGTGGGTTCTTAGCGCCTTTCCAGCCTCGGGGTGCCTTCAGCAGCGGCGCCTCGCTGGGCGCGTTCCGGGGATGCCAGGATCGTCCCGAACGGCCGCCCGAGAGCAGAGTTATGACCCGAAAACCGAGGGCCTCCCTCACCAGACCTCCTCGCGTCGTGAAAGAAGCACGGCGGGAGGCTCTTTGTAATTGTTGGCTCTGGGGGCCCAGGACAGGCCCCAGGACCGTCAACGAAAAGACTCAGGATGAATGGCCGCTACCCTGGGAACGCGCCGAGACCTCCGGGGGTCGACGCCGCGCAACAATGCAACAATCGCGACGTCGGGGACCTGGGTCCCTCCTCTGCGCATCATTCCGCGGATGGAGAGCGGGTCGGTTTCAAAATGTGGCTCTCGCCTGCGCACCGCGCACATCCGTCGTAACAGTTTACAGCGGTTTCAAGGATTCCCATGGTTAACGTCCCAGAAATGGTGTGTTGGCACGACGTCGGACTATCAGGGCGCAACCGTCACATTGATCCGTGGTGTTGAATTCCAATGAATGGAGTTAGGGCGCGAATCATAGTCGTCAGGACGCAACAGTAGCGGTGACTCGCGGCGTTCAAGTTCCAGAAATTATGTTCCGGCATAGTTCAGAACTTTCAAACGGTTTTTTCCAACGGGGCATTTCTTCAGTGAAGATGAACCCTTGTAGGGGATAGTGAAATGAGAACTTGGAGGGAGGGTGTATCGCAATATCTGTGATGGTTACTCCTCCCGCCTCCTCCTCCTCCCTCCTCCTCCTCCTCCCTCCTCCTCCCTCCTAGGCTGCTCTCCCTCATCCTGCTCTCTTCCCCCTGTTCCTTCTCATCGCACTCGACGTTGTAAAAAGAATCGTGTCGTCAGGTGGTCTGGGAGCGGCACTTTCGCGGCTCGCCTCGAGCTGGGGCTCGCGCGCGTGCGGGGCCGCCGCCAGCAGCTGCAGCGCCACGGCGCCGGGGGCGTCAGTGCACGCCTCCCGCGGCAGCACCTCGGAGGTCTCCCGGATGCCCATCAGAAACTCGGGGGCGTCCCCGGCGTCGGTGATGCAGATCAGGAACAGCTCCACGGGGATCGGGTGCGTCCCCCCGTCCTTCCCGGCCATTGGATACCATATTTTCTCGGTCGCGACCAATCATCACCGACCGGTCGCGAACGTCTTTGAAGCAAATCGGTCGCGACCGACACCAGAATTGGAAGCAGAATCGGCAGCGACCGATTTCGTCGGTCGCGACAAGAAAAATGTGGCATCCAATGATCAGGGTTGCGCAGGGCGCATTGGCATTGACGGGAGGACCTGCTCGAGGTGAAGGCATCGCGCGGAGTCGGCGACGCATTGCCGACAGATTGGTGACAGATCCCCGATGGCGAAACATCATCCAAGGCAACTATATTCGAGCTTTGCGCTCCGCGAAGCGCGTTTATCTTCGCGGCTTCGCGCTACCCCCACCCCCCACCTGGAACAGGATCAGGGACTCGCGCCTCGCTCTGATATCGCTCAGACAGCGAAGCGCGAAGCGCGACAAACTTCGCACACTCGTGAGGGTTCACGTTCCAGGGGTGGGGTCGGCTATCAGGCCCCTATGGCGAGGGCATTGGACAAGGAACCAGTGGATAAAAAATCCAGGGTCTGGAAGCCAGGAAAGCACCAATTCAGGCTTGGCCATGGATATCACCGCCGCCTTCATCAGATAAGGAATCCTCTTGGGTCTGAAAACTCCTGGGCACATCCCTTCATGACGAACGCCCTCACCGTATCGGCGATCGGTGGGCGATCGGGGGTCGATGCCTTCCCCCCGAGCCTGGTTCGCCGTAACGAATACCCCTGATCCTTGCACAGCGACACCTGGATGGAAGTGGCAGGGCCCATGGCGCACTCGCCCGAGTTCAGGTCCTCGGCCACCGAGGCGGCGACGCGCTTGAGCGGGGAGTCCTCGGACTGCAGCGCCGCCGTCGCCGAGATGAAGTCCTGGAAGCGCTGCTGGTCGGACTCCCCCACGTACCGAAGGAAGTTGCATCCGAGAAGCGCGCTCCTCGTGTCGCCCGCTTGGTCTTCGGGGCCCAACAAGTGCACCAGGTGTGGGGAATGGGCGATGATGTTCAGTTGTGGGCAGATGTACAGCTGGGCGTCGCAGAGTACGCCGAGCAGTCTTTGAACTGCCCGATACGCCCGGCCAGACTGGTTGGACTCCAGGGACGCCTTGAGGCGGTCCTTCTCGCAAACCTCCAGGAATATTGAGGCACAGCAGACAAGTGCACAAGTAACCACCTCAATAAAGACGTTATGGACGAACGCTGCCATGGAAGAGACTCCGTCGGTGATTACAATTTGCTCGCGCCCCTGCCAGACAGCGACGCACGTCACTGCAGAAAGAAGTATGTTCCATCTTACCGAAGTCTTCCAATCAAGTATGAAGATCGCGAAAGTCGCGCGTGCCGCGCTCCACAACCCACCGTACATGAGATAGGAAGTTGCGCTTGCAAAGCACATTCGCAAGGCCATTGTGCACATGAACACTTTGAACAGGCACACTACGTCCACGGCGGTAAACCCGGGTGATCTTCTCATGTGCTTCCAGTATAAATTGGCCCATGAACGTCCACACATGAACACCGCTCTGAAAACAACACCCCAGTCGGAGGGATTTGCAACATGCATGCAAATGACTAGTGGCATAAACATGGCCGACAAGGGTATCAACAGCGTGTCAGCCACGAACTGTAATCGCGCCACTCTTGCCTTGTTGAAATCACGTAGAACTCTGCTATCGGTAGACGTGCAAGCACCACAGTGTGAGACAGGCGATTGGAGTGATCTCATCAGTGCATGTAGCGACGCTGTAAATTCGCCCCAGTCAAGCCAGACAGATGCTGCGAGGAAACAAAAGCTCAATGATATGCAGCAGCGAACGATGAGAGTGGCTAAGTACTCTTGCTGTGTGACCTCGAAGAAGAATGACAGGGACATACCACCACCAACAATCAACGCGGGCTTGGAGGCAAGGCGGTGCTTTCAACACTGGTAGGGCCCGGGCGCTCCCGATGGACCGTCTGACAAGATGGGGCGCACGAGACCGCGCCTCCTTGGCTGTGGCACAATCGCTTGAAGCCAGAATGGTCACGGACCTCTTCCTCTGCCCAACCTTCCTGTTCCTCCTCCTCCTCCTCCTCCTCCTCCTCCTCCTCCTCCTCATATCATCCTCCTCTTCCTCCTCTTTCTCCATCCTCCCCCATTCTCCTCCTCCTCCTCCTCCTCCTCATCCTCCCTTGGTATCGGCTGCGTACCGAGTCAGGGTCCCCAGCCTCGCCTGTGCCGCTCCCGCGGAACGCAGCATGCCGAATTCAGCGTCGACTGCGGGGTGCGGCCTTACCCAAGTCAGATTCCTAATGTGATGATCGTCGAGCTGGCGAGTGGCTCGTCGGCACGCTTTCCCGATAGCAGTCCACGAGCTTCATCTGTTATGTTCCTATTCTGGCTCATCAGCAGGCTCTGGCCCCCGCAGCCCCGACCACGCTGACAACGAATGTCAGGCTGCTCCTGCTTATCACGGATACTTGAAATCAATGTTGGGATAACCCAAGCGGCGTCGAACAACACGCATTCGTATGTCAGGGCACCGGGATTGCAAAGATCGTGGGACGTCTTGGGGACATCTTGGGCAATGCTTAAATGGACTTCAGGCCTTCAGGGGTACTGGCACCCAAGCCGCCTGTCGAGGATCTGACATGGGGCGGCCCTGGCCCCGTTGCATCTATCCGCCACTATGCCGCGAGGCACGAAGTAGAGTGTTTGTAGGTTCCTTCGAGGCCTGTGTGCTGGGTTTTGGACGTGCCCTTTGGTGAGCACAGACGCCCGAGGATTCCTCGGCGCCCTCGGGCGCTCTTGGGGTGCGTCGCGTGGCCTCTCCAGCGGCCTCGACGGCTGAGAGCCCACACACCCCACATGTCACACGGTGGCCTCAAGGGGCCGTCCTGTGTCTCTTCTGGGGGCCTCTTGGGCCGTTCTGGAGGCCTTGGGGGCTGCCCCACGCGGTCCCAAAGCACTGACGGACCCGATGTTCTCATATTTGGAATGTGCATACTCGGTTTTTTGGCTGAACGCGCCCAAAACAGCCCAGGGCGTCTCCAAGACCTATTCAAGAAGGGCCCCCGGGGCCCCAAAGAGGGGCCCCAAAACACCCCAAAGAGGCCCCAAGAGCGGCCCAAGATCGGGAAGTCGAGCTGCTGTTTCTGAGGATCCTCCACCCGAGAGGGCCCCTGGAAACAGCCGACATGCCCCCAAGAGGCCCCACGGGCCCCCAAACACGAGCCTGACGAAAGACCAAGCTACATGCAGCTGCGAGAACCGCGAGGAACGAAGGAGGAGGGCACGCAAACCCCGGATAGCGCACGCGGTATACCCTCTGCTCGCACACACACACACACACACACACACACACACACACACACACACACACACACACACACACACACACACACACACACGCGCACACACGCGCACGCACACACGCACACACGCACATACGCACACACGCACACACGCACACACACACACACACACACGCACGCACGCACGCACGCACGCACGCACGCACACGCACACACAACGTGCCGCAGGAAGATCGAGGCGCGGGGCAGCGCGGGCAGGGAAAGGGACGAATGGATGGGACGTCCGGTGGAACTCCATATAGGGCCACGCAACGCTGTACTGGGCGTGGCGGACGCACGTGGGCACCGCCACTGGGGCCTTCGTCGGATCTCCCTTTGGCCCTTTGGGGCCACGAGGCGCTGTACGGGGTGTGGCGGGCGCATGCAAACACCCCCACTGGGGCCTTCGGTGGGGTTCCCGATGGGGCCACGAAGACGCTGCATTGGGCGTGGCAGACGCATGCGGGCGGTGCCACTGGGGCCTTGGGTAGAGCCCCCTGTGGGGCCACGAAACGCTGTACTGGGTGTGGCGGACGCATGCGGGCGGTGCCACTGGGGCCTTCGGTGGGGCTCCCTATGGGGCCACGAAGCGCTGTACTGGGTGTGGCGGGCGCTGTAGTGGGATTGGCGGACGCATGCGGGCACCCCATCTGGGGCCTTCAGTGGAGCTCCCGATGGGGCCACAAAGCGCTGTACTGGATGTGGCGGACGCATGCGGGCACCCCCGCTGCGGCCTTCTCTTCGGCTGAGCTCCCTATGGGGCTACGAAACGTGTGGCGGACGCATGTGGGCATCCCCACTGGGGCCTTCGTTCGAGCTCCCTTTGGGGCCGCGAAGCGGTGCGCTGGGTGTGGCGGATGCACGTGGGAACCCCAACTGGTGCCTTCGGTAGAGCTCCCTGTGTGACCACGAAGCGTGTGGGTGATGTAACGAAATTGCGGACACGCGGTGGGCATAGGCAGGGATGGGAAGAGGGAGGAGAAGGAGGAGAAGAAGGAGGAGGAGGAGGAAGAGGAGGAACAGGAGCGTCAGTAGCCTGAGGGCGGGTTCCTGTGACGACGCGGCAGCGGGCCGCGGCGGCGGGGAGCCCAGGCCTCAGTGAGCTACGTTGCGTTGTTGAGCCGGTCGAGGGCGGCCAGGTGCGCGCCCAGGTGGTGCTTGCAGGTGTAGTAGTTCACGCCCGGGGTCTTGACCTCGAGGTACGTGTAGTGCGAGAGAACGAGACGCTGGATAGTCATCGACAGCGAGTGTTCCACGCGCTCAGGATAGTGGCGTCCCAACCACAGGCGCTTCAAAATAGTGGCAATTCCAGCGGGCCCTCCGCGCCGGGAACTCCGCCTCAGACACCGCGAGTGCAATGAGCTCCCGCAAATACCCTTTCTCCTTTACATATCCTTTTCCACCATTTCTTTACGGCGCCGCCATGGTCACGCAGAGGAGCCTCGACAGTGCCTTCGCATCGACCGCCGAGCGTGGACCTTCAGCGTCTCCAGTCAAGGAGAAGCTCGAAAAGATCTAGCGCCTGCAGGGGGTCTCTGAGCTCTTAGACACCAGGGTCTGGATCACAGGATGGCCCCGCCACCGCGCAGTCCCCAAACATGGGGGCCCTTGATGCCATCAGTGCGCTTTCAGAAAAGATGGACCGCATGGCTTGAAGTCCGACCTCGGGGATGTCAAAAAGCAGGTCAGCAAGGAGCTCAACGTCAGCGTCTCCGAAGCTGTGAACCCTGTGAACCCCTTGAAAAAGCTCTGCAACGAGCTGGTGGGCGCTCGCGTCGCCAAGCTGGAGTCCAAGCCGTGCGTCCCAGACATCACAAACAGCGCCATCAAGGACATGCAGAAGCATGTCAATCGTTTTGACCCTGCTAGACGTCGCGCTCCATTTGTCGGATTGCCCGACGAAGTTGATGCTGATGGGCGCAATGCCAAGATGGAGGCTTTCCTCAAATGCCATTTCAATACGTTCCGACCCATCGTTTTTGGGAACGAGGACTACGGGCCGCAATCGGACAGGAAATTGCCAAGGGGGTCCCGGGTTGAATTTTCCATCGTCGACGCGACAAAGTCGTTCTTATCCGCGGCTTCATCTTCCAAGGTCGAGCTTCGCATGGGCGACGCGAAACTGCTGATTAAGCCGGCCCGTGCTGACTTGCAGCGCAAGCGGAATTGCGCCATCCGCAAGGAATCCCCCGCCGCCAACGGCAATGATGCCAAGATCGAGCAGAAGGCGCGGGACTCGCGCGAGCGCCGCGCGACTGCGAACGGCACCGCGGTCTTCAAGCAAGACGAGGACGACGCCGCAGGCATGCTCTTGGAGCCATTTGCGGACCTCGCGATCCCATAGGGGCCCCCCGGAGAGCCGCTCATCACAATACCTACTCACCGGACCCATCGTTTCACGTTCACGGGCCCGCCCGCCACCCTGTGGCAGATGAGCGGCCCCAGCAATCGACGCCCTGGCGTCTCCGTCGCCGCGGCCCTCGTTCTGTTCATAGTTTACATCTTCGGCGACGCGCATGGCTATGTTCTCCTGGCCGTCGACGCCCCCCTGGCGACAGCTCGCGGAAATCCGAGCTAGAGTCGCCAGGCCTCGACATGCATGCGCCCACCGTGCCCGTGAAAATGCGCGGTTTTTTGACGCGCCATGCTGAACTCCACCATCGTCTCTCCGTGGCTGGTTTCCCAGACATTGTCGCTATCACCGAAACGTGGCTAAATCAGAGCGTCGTGGGCCCTACCTTGCCGGGCCATTGTGTCATCTCCAGGCTGGGCCGGCGTGGCGGTCGTCAAGGTGGCGGTATCTCGTTATTCGCTAAGCAATCGTTTTCCAAAAGCATTGTCCATATAGCTGATTCCGCTGAATGTGAACGTTCTTGGCATATTGTTCAATGCCAGTCACGGACCTCTGCCCGTTGCTCTCTGGCACCGCCCGCCTGACTTGGGAGAGACCGCTTCGGGGCAATCATTTGAACGCGAACTGCATCGACACCGCAGCCTCGCAATTGGCACTTTGGTCATTGGCGACGTCAACGTCCATCACACACCCTGGCTTCATTTCTCGAGTGGCAGCATCCGGGAAGGTAAGGAGTTACTTACAGTCTGTTCGAAAACTGCTTTGTTTGAGAAGGTGGGCAAGCCTGCGCGGGGCAAGCACTTGCTCGACCTCGTTCTGACAGACATCATGTCGGGAGTTGCGTGAAGAGTGCTTCCCCCCATCGCTGATCACGACATCGCGCGCGTTGCGATCGCCATGCGCGTTTCTCGCGCCGCACCTACTGCCCGGGAGCATTGGGTGTTTAAGCAGGCGGACTGGCATGGTCTTAGCATGGCTCTTCGTGACGTCGACTGGCGAGACTTATTTTCGAATTGTGATCCGTCTAGTGCGGCTGAGAAGTTGGCGGCTTTCCTTTTGCGCACAGCAGGGGGCGTCATTCAAAAATTCCGTGGCTGAATGAACGCTGTCTCCATCTGATTGGCGAGAAGCTCCGCGCCTGTGGCAGTTCAGACTACGTAGAGCGACAAAGAGCAGGCTCTGCTGGA